TTTTTATTGTTGCAGCCTGATTTATTTTTTTCTGAAATTCCATGCGTATCAAGTAGTAATTAAGCGATTTACTCAAGAATCAGACGAATGGTTATTCTAGTAGTTTCCATGAGCAGTGATCCGATGAAGCGTGTATAATAACAACGCAATAGATCGATCCTACTTTACGAGTAAACTAGTCCTACACGAGCCATGTTCAAATATGTGCCTGTTTACTAATTAAACAAATACTTTGTTTAATTATGTAAGTGGTATACTATGTACGACTATTAAAATTACCTTAAAACGACTAAGATGGGAAACTTAATACGCACCTATGTATTTTCAAGTACGTGTCATTTGATATTCTATACTTAGGTACCTATTTGTTGTTATTGCAGTTTTACGATGCAATTAAGTGTTTGTTTAGAAGCAAAAACAAAATGTTTGCTACTAACATTCAGTATCTACCTATTCAATAAAGATTTCTAGTCACGGACAGTTGTTAAATAAATAATTGATATGCACAGTGCACCTATGAGCCCAGCAGGCTGTATAAGGCAGAGCCTTGGCGTTCCCTATTAAAAATGTAGACAATTAGTCTATGGGGATTGGTGTGAAGTGTAACTTCCGTTCCTTTCTATTACAAGTTGTGTTTTAAAATGAATTGGTCGCTATAAAAGTTTTGCTTAGCATAACAACATCTTTTATTTAATTAATTAAACCCCAAACTAACGCGGCGTTCGCGCACCTATTGTTCTTAAATTGTGTCTCGATTTTTTTATGTCAAATTTTTTTCTTTTTTCAGACTGGCACAGATCTTACTACGCAAACCTCCGTCCGAACAAGCAAGCATACGACCTCCTTATATCTTCGGGAGTATTTGCAGTAATAAACGTCGTCGCATTCCTTGTCCATGCCTTCATCACATTCAGAGAGGAGGCTGACTACTAAATAATGAAATCTGTAAATTAATTCTAAAATTCGGCTGTTCTTTTTTATTATTTGGAAATTTTCTTTTTTTTCGCTATCAAAACCAAAGCGTTGTTTTTAAGTTACTTTCATTTTTTTACTTAGTTTTCGAGTTTCACTACATTGACAGTTTTTTTATTGGCTCTCTCTTTCAAGCCCGTTGGATAGCCTACGTATTCAAAGATCTTCTTATTTTTAGGATTAACCTTTAAGAGTATTATTTTAAAATAATCGTAGTTAAGTGTTTGTATCCAGTTATTTTAAGTTTATATAAGTTTAAATACGTTGCCTCATTGTGTAGCTAATGCTTTATATCTTAATTGAAATTTACCCAGTGTTGCCCTGCAGCAGCTACTTTAAATATTTGAGCATATTATATTTTTTTATCTAAGCACTTGTTTTATGTTAGTATTTACCTATATATTATTTTGAAATGAGCAGCTATTATTAATATTTTTTTTTATATCTAAGTATTATCTATTTTATGGATAGCTATTTTCTTTTTTACACACGGCAGCATTTTTAATCATGATTTTTTATAATGACAAGGCATCTATTATTTAGACATAGTTTAGGTATTTATAAAATGGGCATCTATTTTATTTATTCCATAAATTGTAAAGGCAGCAATTAAAAAAGGCAATTTTACCACTTTGATTGATTTAAAAAACCAGGCAACTTATAATTTTAATTTTAAAATGGCAGTCGATTATTTTTAATAACAATGTTTAATGGCAGCGTGTTATAAATCCAAAAATGGCAGCTAAACACGGGCAACTAATTGATAATTTAAATTTAGGCAACTTTAAAAAAATGGCAGCATGAAACAGGCAGTTTATTTTAGGTTTATAAATATAATAGTATTTAATAATAATGGCAGGATAGTATTATTTAAGTTTTTTTAAGCAGCAATTTACTTCCTTGAATTAATATTAGACACGCAAGCACACAAAATTGCAGACAAAAGTTGCTCTTCACTGTAGCTTTTTAAAATCATTGTTTTTTTATCATGTGTTAAGGCAGCTTTATTATTCTTGCTTAAGAGCCTTTACAGCAGCCATTTTGAATACTCAACTTTAGCAAACTCAAGGCATTAATAATTATACCTACAGCTAATTTTAAGGCAGCTACTTTATACAACAAACACTGCTATAAAAAGGCAGCTTTTAAGTGTAACTGTAAGTTTTAACATTTACTATCAAGGCAGCTATTTACCTGTATTGTATTATTTACCTAAAATCAGTATTTAATGTAGTTTCACAAAAATTGCTATTTTTGGCGTTTGGCAACTTATTTAGCTTTTTATAATGCAGCTTTTTTTTCAATTGCAACTTATTAAACTATTTTTTTTAAATTATTTATCTTTGATTGGCAGCAGTAGCTTGTTATTCAGCCTATTACAATGCAAAAAATATTTCGGCCGAAAGTGCAAGTATAGGATTATTTTAGTTGTTTTATTTAATGAGGATTGTGAGACTGTTGTCTCACGTAGTGTGGATCGCAGAGATTAGGATCGATTAGAATGCTAGAGAGAATAAGTAGTGTAAACGATAAGTTTTTTTTATTATGCTTCCTTTGACGAAAATATTCTAAATTATTGCCTTTTTAGTTTAGTTAGATTAGGGCGTTTATCCGGTTATTACTGTAACATTCCGCTAAATTCTAATTTAATTAGATTTATTTTTAAGCTTTTGTGGCTCTACCGTTTCAAAAAACTATTGTAAAGAATGTTCTGATAAAATATAAGTATGTTGATGGTTTAATTTTATACACTTTCCTTTTCGTAATTCATAAAATATTTCATTTATACTGGTGAGGGCCACAATAATGTTATCTCTTTACTTAATGAAACGAACCACCGTGAGTTGTTTTTAAAATCTAAAATTGTATTCTCAATATTATTTATCCTGGCAACCATTCAAAAAGTCGTTTTATTTGAATTTGGAAATATTATTATTTTAATTAAGTTGTTTATTTAGTTAATTGTAAGTTATGTTAAGTTATATTTAAAGGATAAACCAAAGCAGTAATCAGTATCCGTCCAGTGGTAGTTAAGTTTTCTCTGACAACTTCAGAAATATTCTTTCGCCTTCAAAAATAGTAGAACCTGTAATGACTTCACTGTAGTGATCTGATTAAACTCATATTTTCTTATTAATATTTCTTATTCACATTAGTTTAACATTAAAAACTTTAGTTAGCTTTTTCTATTTTATTTAAAAAAGTATTTATTAGGTCTTCTTCAACCATAGTTGTAGATTCGATTGGTATAGGTCGTAGCGTAAAATATTTTTCATCATCATAAGATTAGTTTATATTAGATTTAATGAGATTAATATAAAATTAAGTGTGTATATCACATGAGTTGTGAAATATGATAAGTCAAATAAGATTTATATGAAATTATGTAAATAAATATATATAACTTATGTAACCGGCGCTAATGTTACCTTATTTATTCCCCATTTTAATAACAAAAGGTACCCGCGTCACTCACAAACTAAACTCTTTTTGGTAAGAATATAAATAATTGTAAAACCCAATGTATCTTGTATGTAACAATTTAATAAATAAAAGCATTAAATATTGTTTTATTTACACAAATAGGTCAAAACTGAAATGCAATATTCTTAAGTATTTATAAGAATTTCTATATACTTCGACCGATTGATTCTAAATCGGAAACACACATTTGCGATTGTGACTCAAATATTGTCATACGTAACCTTGAAATACAATCCATTCTTGACTCCTAAACTACCCTTTGGCCTTTCGCAGTTACATCCGATGGAATACCAGCTGATAGAAATGCACAACACCCTGTTATCTTTAGAGACACGCGATGAACCACATCGCGTGTCTGTAACCAAAGCGAATTTAACAGCCCATTCGTGACGAACCCATTGTACTTATCGTGTCAACTTGCATTTTGTGAGGTCACGGACAACAACAAAATACACCTTCTTCATGCTAAAAATGCCGTACAAAAGTTATAAAAAATGCTCATCGGCCACAGGTTTAGTAATTATTTTCTAAACAGATTAAAATTGAATAATATTAAAAAAATGTCAGTTGTTTTATTATAAAATAACAAAGAAGTGCCTATCAACAAAATTATCTTCTTTCTTAGTCTGTTTTACTGCGCAGCCCAAGAGACTGATGTTGAACCATCTTTGTTCGTAATTAGTTACGTACGTACAAGTATTATAAATGCCGTTTTGGAAACTAGTTAGGAAACTCAAGTTCCTTACACAAACAGAACTTGTATTTTAACTAAAAGTGATATTAAAATAAAACAGTTATTATTACATAATATAATATTTTGAATGATAATCGATAAAAAGTTACAATGCAACTTTCTAGTAGGTAGGTAATTTGATCAGTTAGACTTATTTACGCTTACTACTTACTTGTAGTGATTTGGTATTCCCCAGGGATGTATAACAGGACCAAAACTATTTATTCAATACTAATATGATTAGTTTATGCTAGTTAGAGTAAGATAAAAGCAATATGCGTTGTTTAAGTAGGTATATAATTTAATCGGGTAATATATTTATAACGCATTGAGTAATTTATGATAATTAATATAATAGCGAGTTAAACTATTAGGTATATAAGAAAATTATATCTCCATTGAGTTATGCTTACATAATTAAGTAGGTAATTTATTTATCATTAATTTTAAATTTGTTGAAATACATATCTGCTCTATGATTGGTGATATTGGAATAAATAAAAGGATAGTTAAAAAAATAATAGTACTTCTAGCTGGCTGTAGAAAAAAAAACAAGAGGTCTTGAGCATAGGGTTCAAATTCAGTTTTAGATTTCTGTATTTTTCTTTTGTAACATTTGATCTATTGTAAAAAAATTAATTATGAATGGTTTTTGATAAAGCATAATGGCGAAAAGACTTTGTATCAAGCTTTACAAAAACGCCCTAGTGACAGTTCGCAATAAAAAAGTAAACTACTTTTCAACTGAAAAATTAAGAATACCTATAAAAATAACAAATCACAACAAATACCTTAAATTCACTTAACTTACCTTTTCAGCTTTTGCTAAATAAATCCAGAGCTTCCTCCATGTTGAAAACTTCTTTTGATCGCTGAAATTATATTGCATCTCTTTGGAGGCATATCTGGTGCTCAGTGGGGACCGATAGTTGCAATATTCAGAATTTTGTATTTCCACGGGTGCGTCAATTGAGAACATTTTGATCACGATTAATTATATTTGTAAGAATCACTTCTTTTCTTGGTGCGTCAATAGCCGCATACAGCTGACACTTAAATGAACATAACCTAACAAAACAACATCAAGGTCGGTCAAGTCGGCGGGAGAATTCAATTCCGATAACAAGGTTATCTTAATAATGTTCATTGTATGACGAAATTAGAAATAACCAGTGACAAAAGCAATTGGTTATTGTGCTGTTAATACAAACAAAATGTTACTTCATTATTGAAAGCCACTTTATTTTATGGCTTCTTCCTATTTAAATTTCGTCTATTTATATTTAATCACGTAATAAATAATAATTATTGAAGAATTACAATGTAGGAAGAAATTTCGTTACTAAAGTATTGACGAAATTAAACATCTTGTTTAATTGCGCTCAGCGTAATGCTGTAGTTAAAGTCCATCACTAACACGAGTCTCTTTTCAAAACAGAGCTGTTGAAGTGATGTTAACAGCCTTAAACAGGTACTAACCATGTCTATCACTTTGCTTACTCCTTTGGCGAAATTCGTGAAGCTATGTATCTATAACAATTTCATGTTGTGAATGGGATTATGTAACATCTAAATCTTGATTTCACTTTTCACTCAACTGGAGGTACATCTCATACATAACTGCTAAAAACAAAATAACAATCTGTTTGTAAAAATACTTTTTATTTACAACATTATAATATTTCAATACATGTTCAGTTTTAAAAAAAATACTATTGCTGCATGAAAAATATATTTGGCAGTTTAATGTAAGGCACCAGATAGTAACTAGTTTACAATGATTGCATTTAACAACTTTGAAGAATTCCTTCATATTGATATAAGAGACCAATCAATACATCATTGTATAAAACTTTTATTAAAAACAACTCAAATTATTTATCCAATGTACTTACAAATATACAAGTTAACATACATAATATACAATTTTCAGTGCAGTCTGTTTATTGTCTTGCTTCACAATGAAATAATAGCCACATTATCAAAGGATGTACATAGACTCACAAATTAGTAACTGCTAGAGTTACACAATTCAATGCCTGTTAGATTCTCCTTACATAATGTATGTGTACAATTAAAATATTCCTATGATAACAAAACACTTCCTTTGCAAGTACTTGTGATTCTATTGCACTATATCATAGTTGTACAAGTATGCCAAGGAAAGATGTTATAGCTTTACTTCTTCTTTTGGAGTGATTTCATCATTTTCTCCAACTTCATAGCCTTCTGGATATCTCCTTTGATCTTCAGTTTGCCCATCATGAATGCAGTGGTTGGCTTCAGTTTGCCTGAGGAAATAGAAATAAAATTATTGAACATAACCACAGTGCCTGGGCAGCTTGCTGCTGCGCAATTTGTTGCCACGTTCTCCGAACCACAAATTGTCGTTTTAGATCTGGGTAGCTTGTGTATGATTTGCATGTTTGGAAAACTAGGATTTTCATCTCTAGCTCTATCTCTTTCATCTAAGATATCTAAATACTGGCTGGAATTAAGTTGCTGGTATTTAATCATATGTGGTTTCATGGCCAGGTAAAATCTCAGAAATCTGACCCCGATTAACTCAGAATAAGGATTGACTATGGCGGGTTATGGGGGATACCACAATCTGATTAGTCTCATCAGAGATACATATCTCTCAGCCAATTAAGTTGGGATAGAAGTTTAGATATTCATGTACCCGCAAACATCTCAGCAAAGTGTTGTCCATCCATGGTGAGAGTCGCGTCCGGTGGGTTCTTGGGCTCACCCTGACCACATTGTCCGTCTCCGTTCTTCAGGTCGATGTGCCATACGCCCTCTTCCTTACCTAGAAACACGGTTGAATGGTTTACAAGAAATTTGTATGAAAGGTTTGGACAAAAAGCAATTTCTCGTCAATAAAATTATAAACACATGTGATAATTAATAGATAATTAAAAACAGATGACGCTATTTTTCATGTATTCCTTATTTATTCCAAATGTCTCTAGGCTTTCATTTAACATCTGAACAAAGTCAACAAAAAAATTATAGCAACAATTTTCATCAGTGCACATTAAAAAAACACCATTAAAAGTATACCTTTGACATTGAACTGGTAGACAGCCTGAGTCTTTTGTACCAGGTCTGAGGAGAGGACTTTGCTGATGGAAGCAAAGAGGGTCGGGATTTGACCGTCTGACGAGCCTTCCTGTAAATGTTAGAATATTCTATGATGGATGGAATCAAGGATCAATATAGTTTGAAACAAATATTGTTTAATGCTGTGATTCTATTACTTATACTTATTTTGTATTTGGTTATTATATTTTTTTGTTTTATAACTTAAATGTCATAAAATTAGCCTAAAATATTATAAAATTAATATTTTTTGGCTGATCATGCAGGCTTGATATTTTGAGATCACACCCATCTATAAATATTTTAATATTTTTTTATACTCGATTACATTTTAATAAACTTTAATTGTTAACTATCAGGCAAAGTATCTCTGAAAGAATTTTATTGCTCTTATGAAGTCAGTAGTCAAAAAAATCAAGTATCATAAAAATTACTTGCATAAACTAGTCCCACAAACGGGATTTATAACATCACCATTACCGATGCAGTGTTAGTCAAATGTTTAATTTGAAATTAATTAGATACATGACTTTACTTAGTACTAACTACTAGTAAATAAAGCATCCATTTATTCATTCATTGCTTGACCGGCTTGACCTCCACTAACTAACGCTTAACAATTTATATCCTATTCTCGTTCTACCATGCACTAGTGTTGTTAGATCACACTACTTGTCAAAGCCCCTTTCGCCTTCTTTTAATAAAAAAGTAGTTATTCGCCTAAATAGAAGACATATATACTTACGGTTAATTACACAAAAATCTATAAATTAAGGTTAAAATACATGCAAACAGTGTAAGACAACACAAAATAAATAAAACCAATCATGCAGAATAAACAAATGGTCATAGATAAATTTATTATTTTTTAATTATTCACACCGGTTTGGCTTTGGATTTGATTCCCTCTTTCATAGTAGGTAGGTCCAGGAAGAAGTCGGGTAGCAAATTGTTTACGTTATCTGGAACAAAGGGAGATTCCCAATTTGAAAAATGGAACAATTTTGTTTTTTTTTCAATTTTGGCCTGATATTTTTGGACTGGTTTCCTGGACCTCGAAGCGTTGTTTTTACCATTGACCACTGTTTTTTTCTGTTTAAAAAAAACTTAGTATAAGATTATATACAAAGCTTACATGCTAAAGTATTCAAGTTAAACTAACATAAATACATGTAAATAAATCAACCACATTTTGAATTCTCTCTACGAATACACCATTATCCAAGTCTACCAAAGGTTTCATGAACAAACCTTCTCCTTGTAGTGGACCGCGGATGTGTGGTACTGTCTGACGCGGTTAGCCGATGTAATGGTTTTCTTATGATGTGTAAGTGCTTCGGGGTCATCCAAGAAACCATCCAGTAATAGGTTATCAGCATTCTCTGTGACCAATCATTACTCTGTGTAGTTCTCTTAGTACAAAACATTACTAATATATTATGAGTAGATAGTGAAAAATACATCTACTATACACAGGAGGAAACCCTAATATTGGGCCATGCTACAAAAATTGCTTAGTTATTTGCACAGAGTAATATGTTATACAGAGGCTAAAATAGTGAGATATAGGATAAAATAGTTATGAATAGGATACCAATACAATATCAAATGGAAAGTTAGGGGTAAAATGAGGCCATAGAAAATTAGTATTAAAAATAATTATTATTATGAGTTTTTAGTCTGATATGTGAAGTATGTAATTTAAATAGTAGGTATGTACCTAATAAGGCGAAATTTAGTTTTTAGGACAAAGGATGGTTCCTCGTAAGAACAATAGAGTAGATTTAAGAAGAGATTATGATATTAGTAGAGTTAGTAACAGGTGAAAAATACTAATAAATAAATACAAAGTTTTTTGGAAGAACAAAAAAGAGATATATGTAATAATAGATGTGAGTAGAGGATAATAGCAGGTAAAATAAAAATAAAATCTTGCACAACAATTATAACTAAATTAGCAATAATTGTATTTATACTAAGTATAATAAAAATAAATATTATATAACTTACTGGGATCGCAAGCGTAGGGTGTCAAGTCCTTGACGCCGACAGACTTGACAACATCCTCGTCGATCGCAAAGTTGCCCGTGTAGGTTTTAGGATCCCTGTAACCATACAAAATTGGTTACAAACGCCATTTCTTTCAATGAACTTTGAGATCACATTTATGCAATCTATATATAGAGAGAGAGAGATGGAAAAAATATGGTAATGGAGATTTATTGATAACTAGCCACTCGCGCGGTTTCACCCACTGCTCGGCTCCATTTGATCGTAGCGTGATGTTTTATAGCCTATAGCACTAAGGAACATTGTAGCTATCTATTAGTGAAAGAATTTTGGCAATCCGACCAGCGGTTCCAAAGATTACCCCCTACATACAAACTTATAAATTTTACCTCTTTATAATATTAGTATAGACGAATATAAAACCAATCATGTGGACTCTAGTCCTGGTACCAGTTCACACAGTTTCCTTTGCGGGGTAGTCGGAATCTTCCTTAAAACGTAGCTCTATGTGTGAAAATACCCGACTCCCGCTCGAAAACGAGTGTAACAGACCTTAGTAGATTAGCTTACCATTTGTTACACTTCATTAATAAATTAGGTAAGGTCAAAAAGAAAGAAATCATTCTGACAACAAAGAGGTAACAAGAAAACAAAAAGGTTAGTAGGTCTTCTTGCAGTACAAGAGGAAGCAGACTTAATGGTGACGAAGAAGGCAATTTAATACTTCGATCAAAAATAGGTAGCAACTGGTATATCGAAGGTTTAACAATACGTACTTGCTAAGGATGACGTAGGCGGCATCAGAGACGATGTCCACCTTGCGGCTGGTGGAGCTCGTGCCGGTCAACATCTCAATGGCGGCGGTCGCGATAGCTGGAAGGCAATATTACTGCTGTAAGTTACTGTGAATGATTTATACATTTATATATAAAATAATTCATTTCGATTCTAGTTGTCTTTCGTTATTATATAGGGTAAAAGAGCAGACGGATGCCCTAATAGTAAGTTATCGGAGCACGAACTTAAGTGAATGCAAGGTTGGCTCTAGCGTTTCTTTTTTAAGTACAATAATATAACCCACATGCCAGCTTAGTTAAAAGTACACTGCATTTTGGGGAGAGGGATTTTGTCTCATTTTTCTTAATTCATTTGCATAGCAGTAATACTGTACCTATTTAAACGTTACCTATTGATTTTTCTGTATAACCTAAATAAATATTAAGTAAAATATATGTTTACCAGTCTTAGGCCAGAGGGCGTTGACTGCGATGTTGTCCTGCTTGAACTCCTCAGCCATACCGAGCACACACATAGACATGCCGTACTTGGCCATTGTGTAAGCTACGTGGAGAGAGAACCTGAAATTATCATTACAAATAAATATAAATCAGAAACAATAAAAAAAAATACTAAAAAAAAAGTGAGAGATGGACACTTTAAGTTTACCAAATTCCTCTATCCTACTAACATTATGAACCTGAAAATTTGTGAGCATATTTTTTTTTATTTCGGAATCGGCAGACATTTGGCAGCTATTACGCCTGGTGGTAAACGATAATGCGACCTATGGAGCACGCCTACCCATGAGCAACCTATTCACTCGGGCCTTGAATATTGGGTTATACCCTCCGGCAAGGAAAAGAAAATGTTTTTGTTGTTATTCTTTCACGAAAAAAAGAATGGACTGATTTGGTTGGAATATGAAATGTAGGAAGGTGATACCCTGGATTAACACATAGCTAATTTTTATCCACCATTCGGGCGAAGCTAGAGGCGAAATCTAGTATTATTATAATAATGTACTCATTAGCTAGATACAGTTATGTTGTTTGTTGTAGTTTTATGTTTCCTGCTTTAGTTGTTTTATAAAGGTAATTGCCATCATAAAGCCTATGTCAAGAAACCAGATTTTAAATAACAGGTTTTTTAGGTTTATCAATTTTACAGTAAAAAGGTCTACTTCATATATTTTTTTCCTCTTTTCAGACTTTTACATATGTGCTGTATTATAGTTGTTTATGATTGGATTCTTCTTGTATACTTACCAGTAGGGGTTCATGTTCAGGGGAGGCGACAAGTTGAGGATGTGAGCATGGTTGCTGGCTTTCAGGTAAGGCAGGCACAGCTTGGAACTGTAACAGAAACATATAGATTATAAAAAGCAATTCTCCACCGAGTTTCTTAACGAGACTAAACACCACGCAATCTAAATTGTTTTAAGCTAAAAATTTTACAAGACTTGTGTCTTCTAAAATTTATATATGAAAAAAACTTATGTAATTATTTAAAAATATATATTTTTTTCTTTTCCGCTAAGAAAATGCTTCTATTAATGTAAAATTCCATGGTCAAAGCCGTCAAAGCATGACTGATAGCTTCAATTTAACTATAGATGAAGGGTAATATTAAAAGAATTTACATAATTTCAACAAGAGGGTAATTTATTAAATTACTCTATACCTATTGTATTTGTTTTCCGTATTGTTTGCTTACTTATTTATGTAGGTAACATGACATGTTACAATTTTTACAGATAAAACAATCAAATACAAAAGATAAAAACAAAACATGGAATCTCCTACTTTTTTATTGCTTTGATAATGGTTGTGATAGTTGCATGACATCACTTGATGTTTAACAAAATCTATACAAATTGTAAAGAGGAACCGCTGGATCGGTCGTCGGATCGGATTTCCAAAATTCTTTCACTGGTACTTAGCTTCCATGTTCCTGAATGCTATAGGCTATAAAACATCACACTACAATCTGTAAGTATGAGCCGAACAGCGGATAAAAACGGGCGGGATAGCTAGTCATAACTATATGTATTAATCAATGGTATTAATAGGAAATATTAGTCTTTTTACATATTTCTTATATTAATGAAAATTATCTTTTCGACTCCATGGATTTTGGATTCCTTATTAGTTTATTATTTTATTTATTTATTTAAATCAGGCATCTGAGGCCCATAGAGAATACACTACATAAATATATTATAACATTAAATCATAAACTAATACATATGTTACATAAAAAAAACTTAAAAACTAATTAATTATTAATTATTATAATAAACAAATCAAAATAAAATGTCTTTATAAGAAGTTCTGTAGCTGCAGTCAACTTACGCCAAGAATGTTCCCCTGGTGTTGATGTTGTGCATGAGGTCGTATCTCTTCATGTCCGTGTTGGCGGTGTCAGTCAGAACAATGGCGGACGCATTGTTCACCAGGATATCGATACCGTTGAACTGGAATGCGAATTGCCCATTAAACAATTGACTTACATAAGTGTAGACTTCCTCAGTGGGGCGACAGGGAGGGTCAGACTCTTACTTGTAAGTCAGCCGCAAAGGTTAGGTTTCCAGATCACATCATCAACCTAAGTGCCCACTGCTGAGCAAAGGCCTCTTCTCACAGTGAAAAAAGTGAGCTTGGTCGCCTGCCTTAGGCTAGGGTCTTATCGACCTTGTAAAGGAGCTGTTGATGTTGTATATGATACAAAATCCAAACTCATCAAACCCCAAGCGAATGCCAGTGTTCGCTTACCAATTGTTCTTCTATTGTGTTTCAAATTACCACGATAGATAGATAGACTACTATTCTATTTTGATGTTTCAAAAGTACCTATTTGTGGTTTAGTTTAGACTTGACATTGTTTCGGTGTTTTAATATCCCTAATTCACTTAAGTACCTACAATTACAAATTCAACATATTATATTTATATAGGGTATTATTTTATTTATTTAAAACTTTAATGTACACAAAACAAGTACATAAGGCGGACATTAATGCCATACGGAATTTTCTCCCAGTCAACCTTAGGGTTAAATAGGGAAATCGGCGAAAATAAAGGCACGTCTAATATGGTATTACCACATACTATATTAATTATTAAAGAGCCTAAATGAGGATCAAGATAATCAATGGAAAAATAGATATTGGATATAAATTCATTGATGCATAAAAAGATAAACAAAACAAAAAAAGCTAATGTTCAAAGATCACTGTTATTTTAAGCAATATTTTTACGACTCACAGATAAATTGATGTTCTTTGGACTTTGATCAGATAGTACAGTCTAAAGTCCAAATTTATATAATAACTGGTTTGAACTTTATACTCAAATGGATATGGAAAAATACAGCATTTATCAAAACGCACATTTTTAATATATTTGAATGAACTGATTGCATTGATTGAAAAGATATATAATCATTTTTGTAAAAGAACTGTGCATTATGGGACTGACATTTTTTATTACAAAAGTCCCTAAAATTAAGATAAAAAAATAACTATAAAATGTGTGCATATCATTCGAATCTGTTCTAAATCAAGCTATGTTATATATGTTGATATCATGTTTAATTTGTATCCAGAATTATAGTTCATTATTGAAAATTACACATCATTAAATCAATGAATAAAAATCTAAAAACTTTAAATTTTTTTAGCATTTAAATTTTTTAATAAGTTGACAATTGAACTACAGTACATACTATTACCTACCTTCTGCAAAGAGTTATGATGTCATGAGGAACAGGGTGAAAAGTAGGCTATGTTTTATTCTATTCATTACTCTATCTCTATTTTCATTCAGATTCATTCAGTAGTCTTTATGTGAAGAGTAATAGAAATCAATCTTATATCAGTAGTATTTTATATTAGTAGGATTGATTGATTGTAGTAGCATATTTACCTTCTTAACAGCCTCATCAACAGCCTTCTGGATTTGTTTCTCATCTCTTACATCTACAATGCAGGGCAGGGCCTTGCCTCCTAGAGCTTCAACTAAAACAAAAAACATTGGTATGTATGGTATGTGTCTCTTTCTAAAAAAAAAGAGGTGCATAATAGAGGAAATCTAAAGTGTATTTGAACCTTATAATTATTATATGAAAAGTATAAAGTATAATGTTTGATATATGAGAAGTAAATGGTTCTAAAATATTTTCTTAATTTAAAAAGTAAGCACCAACATAAGTATTGTTTTATTAAGCATTTATAATCTACATTTCAAACTGGACTTTATTATATGGTTGCTTTAGCATATAATTCAGAATAATTAATTTTCATACCCAACTTTACACTTTTTTAAAGAATAGTTTATGTCTATAATTATTTAAACACCTACTGAAGGTGTTTTATTATTTTAAATGAAATGAATAAAATGTAGTACCTATTTCAAATGTAAGTATGTGTAGTTATATAAAATTATGTAAACAAAATGATCATATTGGCATTATGTAGCAGGTTGTAGCTGGTTATACCCATAAATGTACCCACATAATAAACAAATTACTATTAGAAAATTGAAAGATGATAATGTTCTAAAAACATATCTTTATCATACAAATTACACTATTAAGTTCCAAGCAATTGGGTAAAAAGAATTCACAATTGAGTAAGGAAGGAAAAGCTATGTATCATATAAGTATGTAAATAAATAAAGGTCATTAACCTAATTAACAATTGAAATATTAAAGCATACTTTGAATATTCATTGTTACCCAATGACCATATCTACACAAAATTGTCTTGATAGTTTACAAAACAAATCCATCTAGGTCATTAATGTTGGTCGAAGTCCAAAGCAAAATGGAGGGCAAAGTCCAACTCATATAAACATAGGCATTCACCAAGCAATCATACAATTATGAATGAAATTCAGTATGACACTGTAAATAGAACTTATGTAAACTTGATAAAGCTATGTTGCTAACTTACTTTCTTCGGCAGCCGTGTAAATAGTGCCAGGTAGCTTGGGATGCGGTTCAGCTGTTTTAGCGGCAATAACAACGTTGGCACCATCCTTCGCGGCCTTCAGAGCAATAGCCTTACCAATACCACGGGAGGCACCAGTAATGAACAGCGTCCGTCCAGCCAATTTCCTAATTATACAACGATTCGAAAATTAGAAGAAAGTAGATCACACAACTGTACAGAATTCAGGTACGAATGTCTTACCCGGTGTTAGCTACTAAACTCATATTGAAAGGATTCTTTTACAATCTTAATGCAAAGAAAAGTTTAAAAATCCTAAAACTGCACAATATTTTGCAGTTCGATGTTAGTTTTATATTTTAAATAATTCGCTTCGCAAGTTGACAACGTCAATGAATACCACCAGCGAACTGAATGAATTTCTAACTGACGTAAGTGACGTAAAATGAATGACATTTTGTTTTTAAAATCAGTCAATGTCAAATCTGATAACTTTGACAACAACGTACAAATGTTACCAGGTTCAAATAACATTTTAAAAGTACGAGTATTCTGCCTCATTTGACGTTTACCCATGCTTTCATACGGGTATCATTTTTACGAATTCAGCAGCTCTTACGTAATAGGTATTGTTTGAAGAATTATGTGAGACAGAAAGGCAGTCTTTGGTATCTTCAAAAATTTTAACGCAGGAGCTTTTAAATAGATGACGTTTGGAGCTTGTAATAAGAGTAAATGTCGTTATCAAGGGCAGTAGCGCCAGATTAACATAGAAACCGATGAATACTGATGTCCGTCCTTAGGTAATGAGTCGGATCTAACTAAAAGGTAAGTATTATAAATACTTCATAAAACCTAAGGTAGGTAAACGCACCAAGAATGGACAAGGGAAGAACGACGAGGACAAAAAATAATTAAATATCTTATAATAAGGACGTGGGCCACTTTTTTATATTGAAAACACGGTAGCACAGAGTTTAGACTTGTAGCTGTAAACATTTGGTCAGATAGAAAAGTGGCGGGAGTTCAAAGTTTTCCGGTGCCTGATTAAAAAACTAGGAAGTTCCATCTGTACACTGGTATTGCTTTAAAATTTTAATCAGAATGTGTTTTGTTTGTTATGTTAGTGATGAAATGAAGACAGCAGATATTTGTTGTTTTATATCAGAGATTGTGTTTGTTGGATTTCGCATTTTGATAGTGCGGTATGCACTACAACTGAGCAAATAATTGCTGTTAAGCAATAAGTGCATATCTACGCAGATTGTCGCCGGTTTGTGTCCCATTTCATTTAGATTAAAGTTGTCTAAAGGGCCTGTGCGCTGTTAGCTTTGGCCCCTCATACGCCTCCCAAATAACCTAGACATGTGGTCCTGTGACTGGTAAAGATCTGCTAGTAATAATAAAAATACAGGGGAAGATTTGAAATACATTTATTTTTGTGCATCATTTCATAACCTCACTCTCACTAACTTCTAATGTACAACACCAGATAGGGTGAATACATAGGTACAATGATAATCTACTAAAATAAAACTTTAAATTATTATATATATCATAAGACATTCAGTTAGGCTTTATTAAAATTGCAATATATCTTTATTTATTTTATGGCTCGAATCGTTGATAATAAATTTTATTCTGTTCTAATTTACACTCCCTTTTGTACATACATAGCAATACACTACAGAATTTACAATTATTACATTAAGTATCATAAAATCATTGTAAATTACAGAACTCTTGAGTATTATATATTTTAAATTAATTTATCATTCAGTCCTTTCACAAACATGTCCATAAGATAATACCCATAAATTAAGTATTTAAAATAAAAAAATAAAATATTTTGTTAGGAGATCTAAACATCTATGAAATAAATTTTAAGTAAAAGAGTGTTACTTTCGCTACTCAATGTAGGGAAACAATATTTTGTGTCTGTTCACACACATTCATCATAAGAAATAAACGAGGCGTGTTAATTTCCTTGTATCTAAGAAAACTATACGTAGAAAACACAAGTTATGTACAAAATATCTTTCGACATTCACACATTTAAAATTATCAAAATATATCTACACAATTTTTGTTGATTATTAATATAGATTACATTACATTCATCAATTATTATTTACACTTACTGCTACGCCTTTATTCGTTTCGAAACTTTTTATTCATAGAATTGCCAGGATAAGTAGTCTCTATCATATTTATACCTACTAAAATATATTATTTAGCAACGGTGGTAAAATATTGATGATTATGTCTGAATTTCAACCTCAAAAATGCAAAAAAAAAATCGTCAATCCATTATGTAAGTAGGTTATTTGGATAATCTCATAATCTGTCGGGTATCATATTGCTTTTAAATCTTACAGAGCTGATAAAACTGTTCATAGTAGGTATCGTGGATTAGGTAATAAATGTAACCCTGATTACCTCAGCGATATGATTTTTATCAGTGTTACCATTACGAAAATAATGAGGCACCTCATACACGTTCAGAAGAAAAAGTATTGTACCAACCGAAAAAAAAAGAATTTGTTCCGTACATTTTCTATTTTTAAACAACATAATAAGTAATATTTTCTTTGTTGTGGTGAGAGGAAAAATGCTTCGGTCTTTTTTAAGTAGATATCTGAATTACATTTAAGATAGGTAAGTAATTGAGTTTATGATCTAAAGATAGATTAAGTCGATTGATAGAACTACGTAAACAGCACGACAAGAATTAGAAATTCATCTAAACAGGAATAGCTATTTCGTTAAGCGTAAACTATGTACCAGTCTAACAAATAATTCAAGGAAATCTGAAAGACATTAAAGCGACAATATTTTACAGTGAAAAGCACCATAAATTCTGTAATATTCACTATTATTACTCACAACTTCCACTTAACTATTTAAAGCATTAACATAATCAGAATTGGCACCAAAATGAAATGAATAATGTAAAAAAATGTTAGTCACTGTAGAAGGTACCTTACTGAAAGTAAATATAGAATGGTGTAATTGACAAAACGTTGACCGATCAGAAACAGCTACATAAACGCAATCGATTGTTTCATCACAATTTGTAAGGTATGTCCAGACGGTAAAGTACCTATTCAAACGGCTAAAATTCAAATTTACGTTCTATTTACAAGCGCTAACTACCTTCCTACGGTGACTAATTTCCAACACTATATTGTATGCCACGAAAAAATATCTCTATTACTTTGCCTAGATTATAAAATCTGTTCAAATGTAGGCAGGCTGCTTAGCTGAATGCTGTAGTGCTGCCAAAACATCGTGTTTGAGCCTGACGTACAATCTTCCTTTTCTCCACGGATTTTGGAGTTGCAGAGGTCTAAAGTCATCTCGGAGGCATCTTTCGCGGGCGCCGATTACAGCCACAAGACAGAAGTCCTGAAGTTTCTCCGGGCCATATACGGGACCTGCTTTGCCTTTTAGAACGGCGGCCATATTGAGTTGTTTGACAACTAGGTCGATGACTTCTCGCGCCGATGTACGCGGCGTCACGTGCAGCTTGAGCGAGGTACCCGCCGCCAGGCCGGTTTCATATGCAGCAAATACCTGGAAAAAATTATATGTTTCATTCATGAACTCATAAATACAGGTTGATGTAACAAGCATTTCCATAATGCAATCGCATTTAGGTATGTGTTCATCATAAGAAATCGCTTCATTAGTGTGTGTTTTCAATCTACTTACAAGTAAAATGTTAACGTCTCAATTACAACAACCACTATATGGTATGGTATATGATGTTTACCTGCAATATCCCGGCCTGGTCTTGTGCTCGTTGATCCTGAGACTTAACATCTTCGCTCTCCCTCCTCTCATCAGTCTTTGGAACTTTATTGTTATACTCAGCGTCCTCCTGCGTCTCCAACAATGGCTGACGTTTGACGCTCAGGTTTGACTTGGCGTACTCCTGCCCCGTATCAGTAAAGTCTACATCACCTTTTACATTCGTCATACTTTTTGATGCGATGACATTACAAGGGCTCCTATAATGTTTCCCTTGAGGACGGACTTTCAAAGGAACTGTAGTCAGTGGACAGGTTTGACTCTCAGAATCACTTGACAGGCTCTGGGCGGACTCTGAAACGTTACCTTTAGATGTTCTAACACTTATCATGCTTCCGGGATAATATCCTTTCACTGTTAGCAGAGGACTTGATGTGGTAGAACTAGCGTTGATGCTGTGCGGTCTAGGTTTAGGTTCTACGTTTTCGTTTTGTAGTACTAGCGTGTCTTCGCTACGAGATGGTGGTAAACGACTGCTACCAATGCTGTTGTGAGAACCAACTGAAGACTTTATGTCAAATTGTGAATTGCTACTCATGAAATTGTTGCTCATTGCACTGGACTGTGTATACTGGGAGTCTGCGCTGCCTTTTCTTGGAAACTTATCCGAGTCCGGGTTTAGGAATTGTGAACTGCATAAATTCATAGTAGACACAGATGTCTGCCTAGGCGAGAGACTTAACTGTTGCTCGGATTTACTGAATTCTGGATGTAAGTTGGCATGGTTACCGTTACCAGCAGGACCAGGCCACGACCCTCGACCGGGGGAAGTTTTGGTGATTTTACCGTCCCTCGAAGGTATTTGAAGAAAGTCTTTAAATTTGCTATCTGTCTCATTGACCTCTACAGGATTCTCTGCAGACTGTGACGGTGTTTTGTCTAAAATGTATTTGAGCAATATGCCAGAACTCGGTGCTGCCTTGTCTTTATCTCTCGCGAAGCCTATGAGGTCCATTAGCCATCGTTCTGCTTTCCAAACAGTATTTAGATTATTCTGCAAGTCTTCTAATTTTGTTAGTCTCTCTTTGGCTGTCTGTAGCTCTGTGCACGAAAAAGCCTCTCTATGTGAGTGAGCAGCTAAAGCTACATCCAATTCTAGAACACAGCTGAGCTTTGAGTATTTGTTCAGAATGTTTGTGTGATACGTTTGAAGGTGGATCATTTCGAAAGCTTGTATGGGTAAGCTGAGTAGATCACCTTTCTGTAAGAGGATTTCTTTCTGGCCTGGAACTGAGCAGGCCTGTTCTGCTGGTGGACATATCATGATGAAACTGACGTCGTTATTTAGTTCGACAACTTCAAGGTCGTATATTCGGTGGGATATGACACTATCTATTGGAATGTCCATCTCTTTGAAGAGTCTTCGTGCGCCTGAGGCAATAAGATCGAGGAACATTTCTTGAGATTCTGAAGGTTTCTCCTGGCCGCTGATAGTGAGGCTGTTGATCATTTGTGGGTCTTCCGACTTGCCTGATTGATTTTTCAGATACTCCCACTCTTCACTGTAAAGAAAAATGGTTAGGTTATTAATAAATATTACTTGAAATAAGCTTTATGGACGTGTTATGTGTATGTAAAACACTTACGCCGACACATGAGGATTGTCCCGTACGCGCGTGTGTG